TTTCAGTGGCGTCTCCTTACTCGGTAGCAGGGAATCGCTGCAGGACTGTGGGACTGCCTGGAAGGGGCCGGACCTCGTCTTATTCATCTTTGTGCCAGCTCCCAGCACAGAACAGAATGAAACCAGCGGCTGACGTAACTAGTGCTATATTTTAGGAAGATATATCTGGCAACGATGAGTGGGATGAAGAGAACAGGAAAAGACGGGTGCGTGGAGAGTAGTTTAGATGCTCCTGTGGTGATACAGCGGAAAGATGATGAGCTGGAGAAGGACGGAGCAGCGCTGAGAAGAAAGGGAGGCGATGTGACAGAAATTCAGGAAGAGCAAGTGAATGAGACTTAACAACCGTGCAGAGGCAGGGAGGAGTGCTAGGTCCCTGGATAAATAAATGTCCGTCTGTTCACGCAGCACATGTTTCTTGAGCAATTGCTGTGTGCCAAGAGCTATTCTGGATGCTGGGGATGCTACAGTGACTCAAGCAAACAAGGATTTTGCTCTCATAGAGCTTATATTCTAATTGGAGGATAAATTGGTCCAGATTCTCCAGAGAAACAGAACCAATGGGAGATACACAGAAATAGAAGTAGAGGTAAAGATACAGATAGATTTTTTCAAGGAATTGGCTTATGCTATTGCGGGGTCTGGGAAGTCTGACATCTGCAGGGCAGGCCCGCAGGCTGGACGCTCTTGGGTGGGAGCTGAGGCTACAGTCTTGAGGCAGAATTTCTTCTCAGGGACAGCTCTGCTTTGCTCTTAAGGCCTTTCAAATGATTGGATGAGGCCCACCCAGATTATTAAGAACAATCACCTTTATTTAAAGTCAGTTGTCAATATTAACCACATCTACAAAACCCCTTCATAACAGCACCTAGATTAGTGTTGATTGAACAAGTGGATGCTATAGCCTTGCCACACTGACACATAAAAACTAACCAGTGCAGAGGAGATAGAGGAATGACCGGTACATAGAGAGAAATAACTGAGGGTGTTTGAGGATAACCAGCAGCTTCTGTGGATTGGAACCTCAGGGAAAGCCTTCGCGGCCTTGGTAGATAGATCTCCATCTTACAGATGAGGCAGCTGAGATCGGGGAAATTGCGTGACTGATTTGAGTGTTGAAACAGCTAACGATGCCGTCATTCTGACTCCAGCACGTGTGCAGAAAGCACAGCAGAGCCCTGCCTCCCAGGGATGGTCAAGGGACCAGAGTATTTGACTTTTTCCTAGGAGCAACCCTAGCTGGTGAGCAAGTTCAGATTAGGAACTTGTTTCCTAGGTATAGAGCCTGAACATAGGAAGGTCAATATTGTTTTCGGGGGGTACAGGAGTGGCTTTATCCAACTTGTGTGCCCAGACATTCCCTTTTGTTGCTCCTCCCTCCCTCTGCTGTGCTGGGACTGGCCGCCTCCCAGTACCCAGCTCTGGGCTTCTGCAGGAGCCATTCACTTCACCTAGAACGAACTTTTTCTCCGCCCCCTCACCTGACCCTTCCCCTTATGTGGACAATGTCCACGTAGCCTCTGGTTTCAGCTCTGTTACTTTGCTAGGGAAACCTGAGCACCAGAACTAGGATAAATCTCCCAGTTATGAGCCCCTCCCCCCCAAACACCCTGTTCTTCTAATGAAGAACTTAGCACTGTTGCCACTCAGTAGTTTATTTATATATGGTTTCATTAATATCTGCCTCTCCTGCTAGACTCTCTAAGGGAAGGAGCCACGTCATGCTCATTCTCAGTGTTGAGCACATTTCTTGGTATATATGGTTTGTTGAATGAATGCATGGATAAAGGAATGAGTGAGATATATACCTTTGAAAGAGTAAATCTACAGGACATCCTAAACAATAATCTGGAAACATAACAACACATCCTGGTAGCCTCAACTCCTTTTTCTAATACCCAATCAAATCATATCCTAAAGCTAATCCCATCCTTGGCATTTGAGTTCTTCTTAATTTCAATTTTAAGAGTGGTACTTACTGAACTCTTTAATTTGGGGGTAACATTTTAAGCATTTGAGCCCAGACCTCTCTAACACAAAGCAAATGAAGATTTTGGAACAGTTAGAACAAAAGAGAGTGAGACAGCAGGGTGGAAATAGTCAAGAAAAGTGCCCCACTGAGAAGAGAGAAAGAGAGAGTCAAGCATGGATGGAATGTTCTAAGGAAGCCCTCATGTTTAAGACAGACAGTTCTCTCTCTTCTTGCCCCATGGAGGAAATTCTGACTGCTTCTGCCTGTGGTCTGGAGTTTTGAGAGTAAGAGAAAAAGCTCTGACTCAAGTAGCTCCTGACATTTCTGAGTAGGCTCTTGCTAGCCCAGTGGAGAGAAAGTTCAGTTAGGAAGCCTTCCTGCACCTAACAAATGCCCCCTTCTGCAATGTGGACAAAGGCTCCCAATGATGGGCACATGCAAATGGCGGTATGCTAGAGCACATCACCTGTACAAACAGTAATGGTCAACCACAGTGAAACAAGCCAGACTTTCGCACTGGCTTCTGATTTGACAACCAGCAGCTGTAACAACTTAAAGTGTCACATGTGTTATTCAGTGCTTCCAAGAGCTCTTTATCTCTTTTATGTTAGACCCCAAATATTAGTGGAAATCATCCTTTACTTTCCAGTTGTCTTCTGATTGTGCGAAAAGAAATTCTAGATTTTTTTTTAAAAAGTAGCATCATTAAGTCATCCTGCAAGATCTGTACAAGTTTCCCCACTTGCATTCTTTCCATTAAACATTCTTCCCATTGAAAAAGAGAAAAATCTTTCAATTTCTACTTTCTCTACATTTACAGAAACTTGGAGGACTCATTTGCAAATTTAATAGGACATTCCTGCGATCCAGACACATTTAACAATATCGTCACAGGATATAACAGGAAACACTTGGCCCGGGAGTTAGGCATTGGAGGTTCAAGTCTTGGCTCTGCCACTGAGCAGTTACATGACCTTGGACAAGCTGCTGGGCTATGGTGGACTAGGTCGTCTCTGCACTTACCACCGCTCTAAGATGTATGGTTCTCATTGCAGGCATCTTTTCCACAAGTCCTGTGTTGACCCCTGGCTTCTAGATCATCGCACCTGCCCCATGTGCAAGATGAACATTCTTAAAGCCCTAGGGATCCCGGTAAGCACAGCACAGCCTACAGCATCGTAATGTCTGTCTTTCTGCGTTGCCCCCAGGGCAGGGAGAAAACATCCTACCTGGATTTTCTATGTCCCCTCTGAGTCACATAGCAATTGCAGCATCTTAGGAGGCCCCCAGAGAACACTCGTGTCTGGAAACACTTGTCCTCTCACTTTTTCTCAATCTGAGGACGTCACAACCCTTTCACCATGTCCGTCGTATTTGTCTGTGAGTCAGCGTACAGCGTGTGCGGCCCATCAGCTTCTCTTCTGGGCTGCAGGAGGTGAGGCAGGTGGGCCACCAGCAGAGGCATGACGGGCCAGTCACACATTGCCCACCTTTTGCATCATTGCCCCTGCTCAGCCATGAGGGAGCTCCACATGCCACACTTTCTGGTGTTGCCCCACAATCACCACCTAGCTTTCAGAGGGAACGAGCTCCTCCTAGCACTGGGAGGGGAGGACAGTGGCTGAGAATCAGGGTCAAAGCCTCTGCTTAACTCAGATCTCTGGGGAGACCTTGAGTGCACAGGAAACCAGAGCCACTGAATCCTAGCGCTACCATCAAGCTGGTTTCCTCAGCTACATGTTTTGTAAAGTTTAGTCTCTCCCCCAGTACAGAGAGAATCCCTCCAGCTGGCTTGATGCTCCAGGGAAAGACTTTCCCAGGACTGTATCAAGTGAAGCCCGCAACATGGTGGGTGAGAGACACCAGCTGCTGTGAGTTATCCCCTCTATGCAGAGGAGGGCAGGAAGCAAGGCAGGCCACCAAATCCGAGGACTACACAGAGAGATGTGAGAAAGTGTGAGGCACTGTCTAAAAGCAGCCAGGCAAACAGAATACAGATGCCACCCTCCTCTGTCCCCTCCACTTTGCTGCAACCTCCTTATTGTCACTCCTCACTACTAAGGACAGAGAATAAAGAGAATGTTAATAGTCCCAAGATGTCACTGAAGAAGGAAGGATCAGATCTCATATCAAAGGTTTTCTTTAATGCTAAAGGGCTAATTATTGTAGGAATATCAGAGTGGTGCTGTTGGAGGGGGCACACTGAAGCATTACCCTGAATTTTCTACCCTGTGCCAGCTGTCTCCCTGCCAGCCGTATGCTGATTTACACAGTTGATACTCCAAACACAAATCACCCTGTGTGACTATAGCTTTGAGCTAGATTTTCAAGACAGTGCATTAAATTTTCAGACCAGAGTCATAAATGCATAATGCATTCAAGGTGAAAATCAATTGCAGTGAGCATGAAACATTAGCAAAACCCAGCATCTCTACCAGATACTGGTGACTTTAAAAATTGAACTCAGTTTTTGCACTTTTCACATTTCTGACTGTAACTTACTCTTTCAAGGGAGGGGGAAATGTATGTATGTGTGTGCTCGCATGTGTGTATGTGTGTCTATGGTCTCCAAAATCTAGAATCCTCACAATTCTCCCAATCAAAGGGAGACAGTCGCATCATTTGACCTAGTTTCTATTGCTCAAGATATTTTCCGAGATCCTAAGTGTCAGTCCCACTGCTCTCTGGTCAGGACAATGAAACCAAACAAGCCCCTGTAGTTAAATTTTGTACTAGACAGTATTTGACTACCGACTTTTCCCCTGAAGGTATAACTTCTCCAGAAGCTGCTTGTAAATGAGTTGCAAATATTTCTATTAATTATTTTTAAAATATCTGGTAGAATTCACCAGGGTAGCCTTCTAAATCTAGAGTTTTTAAGTAGGAATTTAGTTATTATTTTTAAAATAGAATTATTTGGTGGCCTTTTGGGTCATTTCCAAAATTAATAACATTTTAACTTTCATCAGTTGAGCATTCTAGTCATGGTTTGATGCCTATCAAATCTGGATAAGGATTTTCCTTTTCACACTCAACTCTTAGAAAAATAAACATCAGTAGCATCTCTTGGATTTTGCCAAGAATTTTTAAAGGCCAGCAGAACAAGAACACGACACACATCCAAGCTCACCCCGCAGAACAGAACATCCTCCATGAAGAATGAGGCATGTGTCATGTGCTACTTCTCCCGAAGCACCAAGACATATGGCTACCCTCTGCACCTCCCAAGGCTTTTCTGTTTTTGTCCTAGAGAATGACAAAGTCAGAATCTAGGAGGAATTTGGGATGTTGTTCCATTCCATCCTTCTGCCATTGGGTAGCACCATGCCTAAATTATACCAGCAAGATGACGTCTATTCCATTCTTCAAACTTTCCATCTCATTGGGCGAGCTCACAGCCTTCTCAGTTAGAAAACACTTCCTATATCTAACCCAACCCTTTTTAATGCAGCTTAAAGAAATCGTTTTAGAATTTTTCCTGTATTCCTTGTACTCCATTTCTTCTTATTCAAAGAAAATTGAAAAGAGCCTGCCAGTCTCTGATAGTTGATGTCTGTTGATACATTATCTCTGTATCCCTCATTATCTGTTAAGTGCTCAATAAATTATAGCCCTCAGAGTCTTGAACGTGCCAGTCACAGAATCATATTTATGAATTTCACTTGACTCTCCTTTGAATGGTGTCGACTCATAAACAACTTGGTTATAATCCTCATCCACTAGATTATACAGGTGGTATATTATTTTGGGGTTTTTTTTGTTTTTGTTGTTTTTCACTGAGTGTCCTTGTGCCTGCCTGTGCTATAAGACAAATAATTTCAAGTTGAAAGCCAAGAGTGGGGGACATTTTCATTTTGCAAGTGATTTCTCTACAAAGAGATGAAGAAGGAGAACACAACTCACAGATCGTGAAACTCCCATAACATTGGATATCTTTTTCCATTAAATTTTGCCCGGAGAAATATAATACCAAATTGAAAGGAGGCAGAGTCCTTTATTACCAGAAGTGTTTTTATCCTTTTATCCACCTTACAGTGCTTCACCTTCCTTTCTATCCAGTCAGATCGAGGTCTGTATTTGAAGGATGACCAAACAGTTTCAGTGAATTCTCGAAGGTACCTTATAACCTGGGTCTTTCATGTGCCAGCAAACACCCTCTCCTATCGCTATTATCCTGATATGAATAGGGTGATGATTATTATTGAATAGAAAAATCCTGTGTAGCTGGTGTATTCACAAGTCTCTATCTATGTAGCAGTTGCCTTATTTGAGGAGTTCCCCATGCTAACCTGAATCTTTATACTCATGCAGAGTTCACTTGTAAATAGCATTTGACATCCTTTTTAAAACATTATGATTGTGACTTCTCTTAGAAATATATAAATGGGGTTTCTTTTCAAAATATTATTCTATTTGCTGAACCATGTAGAGTGAATATAAATCTGTTGAGTTCTGAAAACTTGGTCTAGTAAATACTATATCCAAGCCAAATTATTCGTGCTCTGATCATTGACAGTCTCAGTGAGCTGGTTAGCTCTTTCACCCCCTACCTACTCTGTTAAAGATGTGAAACTTTTCCTACTGACCCACAAACTAAAAGCAAAACACACAGTGCATCAAAATTGAGAAATTACATAAAATGAAAGGACAATGTCAACAACCAGGATCAACATTTTGAAAATATATCAATTGTTATTGCATATAATCGTATTCAGGTGTTTATGGCTGAAAGAATTACCACAGTGCTCCCCTCCTTGTGAAGTCTGTTTCTCCCCAATACCCCCCTACTCAGTTGGTTTTGCTCAATAAACATCTGTACATAGCATATCTTACCTTTGCACAGAACTTTATAGTTTTTTAAGTATTGTATCAAATCCTCCCTTAATTGATCTAAGGTAGATACTAACATGCACAAGTTTTTAGAGCGAATATCTGAGACTCAGATACAATTTCCAAATTGACACTGAGCACGTAGTAATTGTTAGTGGCACTATTGGAGGTGGGGCTGAAATCCAAGATCAATATGGTGTGGCTGCTTCACTCCACAATGCACATGGCCCAGTGGAGTGAGGCCAACACGTTAACACATGACCATAACAGCGTGGGAGAAGTGATGCAGTGCTACAGGGTCAAAGATGACTACCTGGAAGGGAACACTTCTTAGAAAAGAGGACATTTGGCCCAGGAATTAAAGGGTGACTGGGAATTCACCAGGGGTGGGTTTGAGACCTCAGGATGGGAAAGGAAGGGTGACTGGGACAGGTGTCGTCCTGAGCAGAGGGAAAGCATGAGGTAATGCACTGAAACGAGGGAAGGTGTGCCACGCTCTTTGTTTCCAAAGGCTGAAGGCGAGGCCAGAAAAGTAAGCCAGGGCTCTGCTCTAGAGCATCTGCTCTGTCATGCGAGGGAGCGTGGACTCTTCCTTCCTTAGGAGAAGAGAAGAATCATACCTGTGCTTTTTTTAAAAAGAATGCTCTGGAGCGAGATAGTAAAGACAAACCGAAGACGAGGTTGCAAGGAGGTAGGGAAATTGGTGATGGGGAGAGAATGTTCACAAACATACCTGCTCGTGTCCAAGATCACAGTCAGTAAATCTAGTAAATTTGGTGAATTGGTCATTCTAGGAATGGACTTTTGACAAATTGAGTTTCAATGAATTGGCTCGCTTCTAAGAGCTAAAGAAGGCACAAAGAATAGGGAATGCAGGGAAAAAAGGAATGGGCTGAATCTGAGGAGTTTGTGGGATGATAGAGATTCCCAGCTGCCTGTTGGAAACCCAGGTGTGGCACTCAGGAGACTGATTTAAAAGTAGCTTAAGAGCAAAAGACTAGGACAAGCATCTAGCCCTTAGGATTTCTTGCTTTGTGCTCTCTAGGAGTTCATGAGTTGTGGGTAAACTTCAAATGCAATAGCGTGATGTTAATTCAATCAGTGTCAACTCAGAATTCGCCTCACCTGATCATGACCATCACGTTCTGCATACATCAGGAGTGTAAAACCAAGTTATTATCATCTCTTATGACAAAGCTGAAGTTCTGACCACAGCAAAAGAAATAACAGCTATTCTTAATATTTCTTAAGACTAGACCCCTCTACCACCACCTTTTAAAAATAATTTTTATGAGTTCATGTAGAGACGTAACAACTGAAAGTAATTTTTAAAGCTGTTTGTGAAAGAGCTAAAACATATTCACCATGGGTTCAAACAGCTGAACTAAAACCAAACAGTAAAACTTGGGAAGAAGATGATTTTGTCCAATAATAAGAGTCCAATGCTGGCCAAAATGGACTGTCTTGCAAAGCAGGAAGCTCCCGTTGCTGTGTTTCTCAAGGGGAGCTGTCGGTGATATTGAGAAGGAAAAGAAGAGTCCTGTGATGAATGGAACAAGATAGTCTCACCCTAGTTTTAAGATTCTAAGACTTTATCCTTCCATATGAAGGATATAGGAATATTTTTCTAGAGCCGGTTTTTGGCTTATGTTTTTAAAAGAATAGTCTTACCCTGTGCTTTTGTGTGTGTGTGTGTGTATGTGTGTATCTTTAATGAACAATTTATAATGACTCAGGTTCTGTCCCCCTCCACTCTCATAACACTAGTATATTTGTAAATAATGCATGAGTCTTTGGGGATAATTATCAGGCTGCCAGCTATACCCTACATGGGGTATAAACACTATATGTAAGGAAGTGCTACCTTTATAAATAATATCATGTATTCCTCCTAAGTAATTATTTAAATGTAGAGATGCTACTACTCCTGGAATTAAAAATTTATACCTAGATCTAAAAGGAACCTTTGGAAAGAAAATTTTGGAAGATCTTTTCATGTTAATGTTACAGAAACTATATTTGGAATCTTTTTAAATAAAATGGCTCAAAAGTAAATAGTAAAGAACTTATTTTTTACTGAGACAAAATATTTAGGCTGTAGACATTTCATCTCCAAGTTGATGATGTGCACTAAGAACAGGTCCTCTTCTACCCCCATCAGCCCAATGCCGACTGCATGGACGACTTGCCCACCGACTTCGAGGGCTCTCTGGGAGGGCCACCAACCAACCAGATCACAGGCGCAAGCGACACGACAGTAAATGAAAGTTCAGTCACTTTGGACCCTGCTGTCCGGACTGTGGGAGCTTTGCAGGTGGTCCAGGATGCAGACCCCACGCCCCAGGAGGGAGAAGTTATCTTTACTACTAACAGTAAGTTCTACTGTGTTTAAAAGTGCCATAGCCAGAAGGGCTGTTGCCTCGTGGGAATCGGGAAAAGATACCTTTCCTTGAGAAGAAAAAAAAAGTTGAGTGAGTATATCATTGCCTGGTTCAACAGTCACACCTGTCAGGCCCTTAGAAGCGCAGCTCTTTCCAGAGCCAGCAGGGCAGACAGTGGGGCCTGGCTCCATGTGCCCCCACCCTTGCCTGCCCACCCACTGACACCAGGGCCCACACCACAGCACTGTGCGCTCTCCACATCCCCTTCCCCATGGTACCTGAGGCAGGTAGTGTTGTGGGTTTGGCCTCTCAGATTGGAGGGCTGGTGAGAGAAGCAACCACAGGGATAGTCAGCAGGACTGGGATAGGGCACAACCCCACCCACTCGTGTGCGTGTGTGTATGTGTGTGTACGCGTGCACATGAGTGTATACATGTGTGCGTTTGAGTCCTCCTAAAAGTACACACGGCTATAGGAGCTAGTCTGGACCATGTGCATGAGGCTGCTTCCCTGTTGCTTTCCTGTTGCTTGGATGTAAGTGGCACCTCTTTAGATGGTCATTTTTGCAGTAGAACCTAAACAGCTATATGCGGTGGCCCTGCATATTAAAATATCTTCTGGGTATTTTCCCCCCATCTCCTGCATAGACAGTCACTAAATCCTGTCCTGTTTGATGGTAATTACCATAAAAATATTAAAATGGCTGTATTAGCATCAAAATTGAAGGAAAAATCTAAAATACCTACTATTCAGTCTAATATAGTAGAGATGAAAGCTTCAGGAGTTCTAAGAAAATCAACAGGCAAATTAGGTTTAAGCTTAAAAGAGTGGGTAGATATTGCAATTTTTAAACAAAGTGTATTTCTTTCTCTTGATAGAAGTAACCTATTCACTATAGGAATATGGAAATATAGAGAAGCAGATTGAAGTATTTGGGGGTATTTCCTTTCAAGTTAGTCTTTTTTTTTTTTTTTTGCATGCTTGTGATTTTTATAGAATTTATAAAACCATGCTAAAATGTAAAGATATGCATTTTTCTGAATAAGGGACAAAGAATGAAAAGAAAATCATTCAGGGTGCCACTACCCCAAAATAATCACTCTTAATCATTTGGTCTATTTCCTGATAATCTTTTATGATACAGTTGAGATGACCCCATAGGGTTTGAGTGTTGAGTATCATAACCATAATATTTTCACAGGACCTTGACAGAAGGTAACTTGAAGAGAAACTTGGTGAGAAATACCTGCCCATGCATGGTGTGATAGTTTTTGATAAAAATAGTTTTAACTTCAAAAACTTGACTTTTAGAGGTATAAATATTAATATATCAGTATTGAAATATTGACTGTTAGGCATTTAAAAGCCCCTGAAAATGGATTTTGATCCCTTTGTTTTGAAGATCTAGACTGGTACTGTCCAATATTAATATTTTTTGTCCAATATTAATATAATGCAAGCCACATATGTAATGTCAATTTTTTGTGACATTAAAAAATTAAAAACAAATGCGTGAAGTTTATTTTAATATTTTATTTAACATAAATTGCCTAGTGCCCTATCCAAAATATTTTACCTTTTTTTGTACTCAATCTTCAAAATCTAGTATGTATGCTACACTTACAGCACATTTCAGTTTGAACCAGCCACGTTTGAAGTACTCAGTAGTCACATGTGGCTAGTGGCTACCATACTGGAGAGCATAGGTCTAGAATCCCAGTAATTTAAATAAAAGAACCTTAAAAGTCATTTTATTCTTACCAGGATAAACTTCTAATTTTTACCAGGAGAAAACTGTGGCCCAGGGCAGTAAACGTCTGACTCAGGTCAAGCAAGTTCTCTTTTTAAGTGTACAAGGTGGTCTCATAATTTTTCCATGTATTGGACATCACACCTATGACCATTAGTGATCTTAATCAAATATATTGGAAAGCCTGATAAAATTTTGCCAGCAGTTGAAAAACATTTAAGGTATGAGCTTTGTTTTGAGCTCATAAGAAACAAATCAAAAATGGATCATTATCCTTGCAATAGATTTATTACTTGATTTTCAAGAGAAAATGTGTCATCTATCAGATTTCCTATTTTAAAGAGTGGCCACATACTTCATGCATCTTAGTAAAGCCCAGGTAACAAATGAAAAAGCATCTTAATTTAGTGTGGATTAAATTACATCTAAAATAAAACAGATGTTAAATACATTGTAGGTTAAAATACATCACAAAAATAAAATGAAAATTATGGTCTGTATCCTTGTAATTCATAATCCCTACACTGTTTTGCATAAAATATAGTGTTTAAGTCATAGCAGGCATTAAGTAAATATTTATTGAACGATTTAAGGTGAAAGTGTTCAAACTAAGCTTGAAGCAGGGACCCCTGTTCACAACAGAATGAAAAAATGCCGGATAATCTCAAAGGAAGGTAAGAGTAGGGTTGAGATGAAGAAATAAGAGTGGTAAGACCATATATGTAGTCATAAGAACGATGGTATATATGAATATGGCTAGAGATATCAGTTTCTTGGTACAGAAACTAAGTTTTTCCTACAAAATATTTTTCCCAGACCATGTATTTCTGATTAATTCCATTTATTGGGATTTAACAGATTTTTCCAAAGATGACCATTCCAATTCATTGTTAATGGTTGGCACTATTAACTAAACAGCTATGACTCTCTGCTCTATACAAGTTTTAATTTGCCTAGTGCCCTACTCAAGTAAATATTTAACCAATAAATGAACAAACGCAAATGCATGACTAAATGAAAAGAGTCAAGTTCTCATCAACATTATTGTACTCAACTCTCTATTGCTATGTAAAAATAACGTGGATGTGGACATAAGTGTAGCTGGGGATACAATAATGCTATAAATCAAAAATAAATAAAACAGTGGAGGTTGGACCTGACTTTTCTCCAAGTTAACCTTTCCCCTCCTCACACCTCCATAGATCCAGGAAATTACTAGAAAAGGAAGAAATAATAATAGCTAACAAATAAATTGCATCAACTACATACCAGGCACCCTGTTGAGCCTTTTTCATATATTAGCTCACAACAACCCTATGAGGTAAATATTATTTTTATCCTCATTTCATTGATGCAGAAAGGAAGGCACAGGGAGATTAAAGTAACTGACCAAGGTCATAAGCTAGTGACAGGTGGAGCTGGAATTCAAACTGGGCCACTGACTCCAGGGCCCCACACTTAACTACACTACACTCAAAGAATGAACAGGGGGAGAAAATTAATATAATTGCTCAGTTCTCATTTAGTTTATTTATTCGTTTCCTCCATTTTTCTAAATCTCTTCAATGATCAAAATGTGTTTAGTTCCCACTTGCACCCTCTTTCCAACCTCTGTTCTTCCTTTCCTGGCAAAGAGACTGGTGTGCAGTACATCAAATGCATGTCAAAGTCATTTCAGCACGCATGGGGTGAAGATGTAGAACAGATTGCCTTTAGAGTGAAGATGGAAAAATCTGGCAACAAAGGATCATCTTCAGCTCCCAGAAACAGAAAAAAAAAAATAAAAAGAAAAGCATTCACAAAGCCAAGGAAATCCAAGCATGTTGGGAGAAAGACATTCTTGTATGCATATTTTTCTGTTCCTGACATTCCATCTTTTCTAAATTCACGTGACAGTCCCAGATCACACAGTGTTTCTCCTCCACCTTTGTGCAAAGGGTCATTTGTATGAATGCCCAAATGTCACTCAGCAGTCTTTATCTGAAGGCCTGATCCTGCCAAAAACATACTTTGCCTTCTGACTCCCGAAGCTCAGGCTGCAGATTGCTGGGTTTGCTTCTGCAGGAGAAAAATGTCCTTACAACCAAAGGGAAACACATCTAAACAAACAGCTCTGTGTGTTTAGAGACTCCAGAGAGGCGCTAGAGAAAGACACAAAAAAAGAAGACTTCATTACCCCTTCCCAAAAGTATTTGGTGCCATTCCACATCTCAGGAGCATCTGAAACCTCCCCTTTATTTTTCAAGGAGGTTATTGACATGTCCTCATTTTTCTTGTTGAGTTGCCACACAAGTTACCCACTTATCCCTCCTTCCACCTCAAACTAGAGGGAACAAACAGCCCGTGGCGGGGGAAGGGACAATGTGTTTGTTAATGGGCATAATCAAGATGTCTCAGATCTGCCCCAGTTCATTCTGAGGAGCATTTGGCATGATGTGCTTGGCCACATCATCTCCGCTCCCTGGGGATGGGGTAGTATATCTAATGTGTTGAAGAGACGTGGTTTGTGATGTGTAGTCATCCCTCAGTACCCACAGGGAACTGGTTCCAGGGCACCTCCTCCCGCCCCTAAGATACCAAAATCTGAGGATACTCGAGTCCCTTATGTAAAATGGTGTATATTTGCACATAAGCTACGCACATCCTCCTGTATACTTTAAATTATCTCTAGATTACTTATAATACCTAACAATGTAAATAGGTCTGTATTTTTTTCTTTGCATTATTTATAATTATTGTGTTATTTTTTGTTGGGGTTTTTTCTGAATGCTTTCGGGCCATGGTTGGTGGAACCCAAGGCATAGGAACTAGCACATGCGGGGCCATCTTTGTTTTTGCTGCACTGACACTTAAAATATATTGAGTGGCTGTAATATTTCCCTCCCCCTGGATGAAAATTTCAGCAGGCCCAGGAATTTCCTGCTTAGTCTTAGGTAACTGACAGTTCTAAAAGTTACTTTAGGTCCCAAACAAAGACAATTTTTTTTTTTCTGTGGGTCCCTTTCCTTTGTAAGTCCTGCAGCTCAGGACAGACGGATCTCTATTGCCTACTCAAGAGGCCTTCCACAGCCCCTGTGCATCCAGCAGTCCTTTTGCAGCCCTGGTCCCCTAAGGTCCCCTTACCCCTCCAACAGTATCTTTTGGATAGGGCCACGTTGACCCGTCCAGCTCGCTCTTCCATGTGGCCACCCCAGGATGCTCACACGTCGCCTGCCCTGACAGTCCTCTTCTAGGACAGCAG